ACTCTTCAAAGCATCTATAGTACCTTGATACGTCAATGGGGTAGTCCACGTAAAGCGCTGACCACGAGGTGTGACTTCGACGTTAGCTAGTTTGTCACACCATCCACGTCTAACTCGAATAGGCATCCGATCATTTCGACATAGATCGTCTACGTCGGTGATTTACAATCTGTTTTTTGAAAAATACTAGTTGATGTTATAATCAATATGAACTATTAAAATGCTAATGTTTTCACTGCAAAGATGATGTTCAACCGATGAATAGTATGAAATGGATTAAAACAGATTTTAAGCGGTTTGATATCTGAAAGTGATAATGCGGTTCGAGTGATGATTGCTGACCTTTACTTGCCTGCTAGAAACAGTTGATCGCATTCTTACAGATATATATATATATATATATATATGATTCGTTCTTGTTGGGCGAACTCTTACAATTTCCTCCTCAGACGGTAATCGGTTTTTCTTCTCCTAAAGTAGGTTGTTGCTGATGGTGTCCGGTCAGTAGACACTGAAAATCTTGCGCAAACAATTATATGTAAATACTAGTACTTTTTTATTATGGTTGTAGTAGTCTTCCAAGTTACAGGTCTGTTCACTCGGACCGTATTGACGTTTAGGTTTAAGATTCTGCTTTTGATGTTGGCTGATAGGTATTTCGAGTTCCATGTGTTCTTCATTTGTAGGGATGCTCCCTTTGTTTTGTAATCGTTACCATCACATCGGATTCTCTTTGTTCATTGGTGACGCTGCTAAGGTATGTGAAAGTTTCTAAATCTTCCACAGTTTCTCCGCCAGTTGTGAATATGTGGGTGTTCTCTGTGTTGTATTGGAGGGTTTTTCTCTTGCCCGTATATGTGTTAAGGCCTACTGATTTGGAGGCATCTGTTACACTAATTGTCTCGAAATGAATTTTTTAGTGTATATGGGTTAGAAGGCCCAGGTCATCTACGAAGTCCAAATAGTCTAGTTGCATCCAAGCTGTCCATTGTGTTACGTGCTTCCACTCAGATGTGAAGGTGGTCTTTATGATTCAGCCAACTCCCAGAAGAAAGAGAAACAGTTAGAGTAGGCAGTTTTGTATGAATTCATTTCTCACTTGGAATGTGTCTGCCAACTGTCCTACAAGCGTGACTTTGCACTGGGTCCGTCGTATGAATTCTGCATGATGTTGACGATCTTCTCAGATACACTATAGTGCTGAAGAAGTTACCATAATATTCCTCTACCCACACTGTCAAACGCATCATAGCCAAGAGTGTTGATATGTAGTAGCAAGTTGAACCCAAATGACTGCTTAACAATGATTCGTAGTGTTATAGATCACCAACGTAGACGATCTATGTCGAAATGATCGGATGCCTATTCGAGTTAGACGTGAATGGTGTGACAAACTAGCTAACGTCGAAGTCACACCTCGTGGTCAGCGCTTTACGTGGACTACCCCATTAACGTATCAAGGTACTATAGATGCTTTGAAGAGTGTACAACACAGAGGACGTTAATACAGAAATATATTAGTTAAAGTAGATACAAGCCAAAGTAAGACCACTGTCGCATGGGCCAGTCCATGGCATACGATTAACCGATGCGCGTCGGTTGTCCTTGACCTTGACGAGGATCGATGATTTGTTCGATATTCAATGATCCAACTGCGGGATGATTTGGCTAGGGCTCAGTTGAATTTCACTGGCTCTACAAGATTAGATGGAATGACAGCACCAAAAACATATTGTACTGGCCTTTGAGTAGATTGAACTGATCCAGTTAACACGAGCTAAAAGCTATAAGAACTAGGAATTCCCGAAATAACGCAGTTTAAGATGAGCAGAACTCAATGAGCACGAACGGACATATTGTATACATCAAAATCAAACAGATAAGTCAAATAACGAGAATGGGATTTTGAATAGATATATTTTGTATGTAAAGTGAATGTAATAGAACAGAGCAAAATGACGCGCAGGGAAGATGGCGGGGAAGCCAACTCCATTTTAGTCAAGCGTTACTCAATATTTATAGTCAGGCAAAATAAAGCTACAGACATGTGATTAATAGGATAAGAAGGGCACACACATATACGCTCATATAAAAACAGTCTAGATTGATAAGCGAATAAATAACAAGGTCAAAGTGTGGCTCGAGTAGAATGAATAAAATGGGATGTCCGGAAGCTAGAATAAGGTATATGGGCTTGGCATAATACTGTCACTACATGCATCAGTAATAAGCACAGAATGTTTATTAGGGGAGTACGTTCGAAGAACAGCATCACTTTGAAGAAACTTCAGTAGATTCTGTAAGCATGACTCTAGTTCCTTACTCCATTTGAATGAATTGGATTTCAAAATATAAAATAAACAATTAACACGACAATAAATATTAGGAACAAAACGGGGATATTGTTGAAGAGCACCCACTAGTGAACGTAGTTATGTAAGATTTTTCGGAGACGGTGCATTTGTCAGTGGAGCTAGTCGTTTCATATCTGGTCTAAAACCATTACCACCAACTAGGAATTTAAGACATTCGAAACTAGATACACAAAAAGGACGCCAATTCGGATTTTCCGCAATATTTTTCTCAACTAAACGACGCAATAAAGCAATAAGTCTGGTCATGAACTACTTTATCAGAACCATGAACAATGAGATCATCTTGATAAACTTTAACACCTTCAAGACCAATAACTATTTTATTCAGAACTTCCTGAAATATGGCTGGAAAAAAACTTAGACCAAATGGAAGGACGTTGTATTTGAACAGACCAAAAGGAGTGTTAATTGTCATCAAAATAGATGAGGATTGATCTAATATGATTTAAAGATAAGAACCTTTTAGGTCAACTTTTGAGAACACTTTAGAACCAAGACGTCGATTTAGAATATCTTCAGCCTCTACTGACTTACAAGTTTGCTTCAACAAACGGGAGTTCAATGTTAATCTATAGTCACCACATATTCTAGGGGTCTTGCCGTCCAACCTCAGTGGCGTAACAATAAGAGTACCCTATGCTGAAGACTGAATTGGTCCAATTATACCTTTCGCATAAAAATCGTCCAATGTCTTATGTACTGCTTCTCGAAGACCATAAGGAACTATTCTTCTTTTAAAAAAGACTGGATCGGTCTGTACTTGAAATTTTATATGCTGGATTTTCATACCTCCACTGCACTTAGCACACGTAACTACCAATTATTTAAGTAAGGCATCAGAATTTTCTTTAGGAACTAGGAAATACAACTCCACTTTAAGCCTTTTCAAATTCCTTAATCCCACTATTGATAGTCCTGTTTCGCTAACTAGAAATCCACAAGGTATGTATGGAGAATTATCATCTCTTATTAGCGATTCACAACATATTCGAATAGGCAGTCTGTGTCCAGTAATCTTCAAAATTGAGACTTCAGTGAGTCGTGTCACAACGTTAGGATCTAAGGATTTCAAGTTCTTGGATGAAATAATGGACTCTATACTGCCTGTGTTCACAATAAAGTCATGACATGAACCAAGCGATGTATATAGTTGCTTTTGAATATGAGTATTACCTTTAGAAATGGTGGACAAAGATAAATGATTATGAGAAACAGCCAAATTATTGGGATCTTAAATATAAGATCTGGTACTACTTGAAGAAAAATGAACGGTAGCTTTGCCTACTGACTGAATGTGTCCTATCTTACCACATTTAGAACATTTAGCATTACGAGATACACATGAATTTGCGAGCATGAAACTTTCCACATGATAAACATTTACCAAACTCCATCTCACTTTTGTGATTTGCTTTGTAATTCCTCGTTGAAACACCTTTCATATTTACACGAGAATAGGAATCACTGTTAAACGAATGCAAGCTTGATTGATCCTGGGATTGTAGTTCATTATGACGACTAAGCAAAGTATTAGAAATTCTCATCGACTGGATATCAAGTTCATTCACTGCCTCGTCGTTAATACACGCAGTTCTAGAATCTTGAAAAGAACAGTTTGGTATTCTTAACAGTTCTCTTTCCAAACCCGGTATGTTAATTCCTGCAATTAATCGATCTCTCAGTTGCACATGAAGTTGATCACCGAAACTACACTTGGAAACTCGTTTCTGCAATTCACGGATGAATTCCCTAACCTTTTGGTCATTTCGACGAACCATCTTATGAAATTTCGCCCTTTCACGACATTCAAAACTGGTGCACTTTACATGATTTATTAATAGCTCCTTAGGAGTTGCATAAGGAAGTGAGATAATTTTTTCTGGATATTCCAAAGTTTTTAATAAGCTGTACGCTTCTCTTCCGATGAATGTCAGGAAATGTGCCACAGTTTTATCACCTTTAAGATCTTTCTTAGTCATACTCCAAATTTCACACCTTTCCAAATAATCACCGAAAGCTTCAGAAGTTGAGTGAATATCTAACTGTTTCATGTCAGCCTTCATCGCGACGCCAATATGATAATTAGGAGTATTTGAATTATAGTACAGACTAAGATTCCCAGAAATAACGCGATCGGATCAAGAAATACTAGATAAGCACGAAAGAATGTACTGTATTTGGAATTCGAAATCGAGCATTCAACAAGTAAAAAAGGAATCGTTATTTCATACAGACACCACTTCTGGTTACAAGGTTGTCTCTCATAGGATAACTACTGCAATTTAGTCACTGAACCCTTTACAGTTCGGTCGAAAATTATTTTGGCAGAATACAACTAGTAAATGTTCCCAAATCTTTCCTCGTTCACTCGATGAAGTACAAAAACGTTCCACCTAGTAAGCAATCAAAGTTTCTCATTCGTTGGCTTTAGTATCCTATCTTAGTTTGATAAAATCGAACTGATATACTGACTGGTAATTCCCAGAACTGTTTACTTTGCACTCTAGTGGTGACGCATGGATCAGTGTTCAAGTTAGAGAGAAATATGTGAGTAAGATCGAACATATTGTTTTCGGAATCAGAATCATGCACTGAATAATGTGCAAATAAATCGTTATTACATACACGTATGACATATACTTACACCAGTTAGATGGAGAATACCAGGGAACAATTCGTCTTCAGGCAGCATCATCAAAGCGTAAATGTTTAATGATATTGCTTATTTTGATCTGCCTAGAACGGCGATTGACTGGATTTCTAAAGACACTGTTTTATGGGTCGACGTTTCATGAAAAAATGACGTGCTAACCAAAAAGTTGTTCACGAATTCCCTAGTACCCAATTCTTTGGCTAAATTGGCATCCATCACTGAATAATACGAGTCAGTACCTAACAAGATGAATATGATCCATAGATTTCAACAAGGGTGATTACTAAGCACATCTTTTCGATCTTAAGAACCAAGTTAACATAGTTCACGGAACCCAATGTATTTAAGGTTCAGCCGTTCAGTCTTTTCTGTACCTATATTCATTTTTAGCCGACAGTTACGACTAAAACATTTTTTTAAGGGGAAGAAAACACAGCATTATTTTCCTAACGAACTCATACCGTTTTAGTCTGATAGCGTCCATAAATCCGTCATTATGTTCTAGACGGCGATATATATATATATATATATATATGGTGGTCGGTATTCGATATATCCCTTAAACTTCGTATACAATTCGTCTTGATAACCGTCCTATTTAACCCCGACGGTATGTTATTCAGAAGGCGAATACGAAGCGTTGATTACGTTTATTTCGAGACCACACACACAGATGTCCAAAATTACAGATGCATTAAACGAGCATTAAGAGTTGTGTCGAACGGCAAACAGGCAAGCGAGCGACTGAGCGAATGTAAGTAATCGAGTACAATCAAGCGAGCGAGAAAGCAGAGTCAACCATATGAATAACGTGGACATATATATAGCATGTGAAATTAATGAGTAATCGAATCAAATAAGCGGTTAGTAGTGAGACTAGCAGAGTGAACAAATGCGTAGGCCGTAAGCAATATTCAAGCATGCGTATTTCATACAAGCACAAAATAATAATAAGGGTACAATAAATTGTTATAGTGCGGATGGCTTTGTCCGCTAAATAAGTTAGCAAAAGGGCTTAACTGAGTTAAATGAGAATAAACCCCATTTGCACGTGAGTCGCTATAATAGCTCCTCCCTGCAAACAAAGATATATGAAAAATGTCTGTGTTTGCATAAAAAAAATAGTAGACTGAGTAGGGTAGTTTCAATTGTTTGAAAAAAATGGCTTATACAAAATTAAGATGAAGTTATAATTAATATTTAAAATAGTAGAAGATCATTAATAAAAAATCGTAGCGACATATTGTTGGGGCCATCTTACTCTGCGGCCGGATCTTGTTGTTATCGGAGTCTTGTCTTTTTGTTGCGTTAACGTTGTTGATTTTCGGGACTCGTGTTTCGCTGGTGTGACCATCTTAGATGAGTCTGTACTTGTTGATTGATTATCACTATCGATGAAAGCTGGCTTTACTCGATCGATGCTAATTACATCTGTCTTCCCAGCTTTTTCTATGGTGACCGTTTTATTTGTCCTCTCTATCACTTTAAATGGGCCGTCGTAACTCGGTTGAAGAGGTGGTTGCATTTTATCTCTTCTGATGAATACGTGAGAGCTGTTATGCAGTTCCTGTGGTATGAATATCCGTCGTTGTTGTGGTCTGGGAGGTGTTATTTTTAAATCGCTCATGTGCTTTCTCAGGCGTTGCACATAGACGGTCACATCAGTCGGGACATTTTTACTTGAAGTGAAAAATTCTCCGGGTAACCGTAGAGTAGTTCCGTAAACTAACTCGGCTGGACAACATCCCATGTCTTGTTTAATTGTTGCTCTTAGAGCTAACGTTACTAGGGGAAGTTTATTAGACCAATCGTTGTTAACGATGACGGCTGTAAGGGACGCTTTTAATTGCCTATGTAGGCGTTCGACCATTCCGTTTGCCATTGGATGGTACGACGTCGTTCGGATTCGTTTAATACCGAGGAGTTCTGTAAGCTGCTGAAAGAGTCGACTTTCGAATTGTGCTCCTCTATCAGTTGTGATAATCGTTGGTACACCGTAGTAAGAAATCCAATTTTCAACTAGGGTTTTAGCTACCGTTTCAGCTGAGGTGTCTTTTATCGGCACTGCTACCGGCCATCGTGTAAACCTATCGATGCATGTAAAGATATAGTTGTATCCATTTGAAATGGGCAGTGGTCCTACAATATCGATGTGTATATGTTCAAATCTAGTGTCTGGGTGCGAAAACGGACCTACTGAAGAGCTAGTATGACGATGTACCTTAACGTTTTGGCACTTCATGCATGCTTGTGTCCAATTACGTACATCGTGATTCATGTTTGTCCATACGAATCGTTCACTAATCAGCTTTATCAGGGCTTTTATTTCTGGGTGCGACATGTTGTGCATGCTTTCGAATATTTTGTGTCGCAACGTTTTCGGGATAAATGGTCGCAGTCGGCCTGTTGATGTATCGCAAATTACTTTCGTGTTACCAAACCGCACCTCTTCGAGTACTAATGATGTTGAACCACCGGATCTGAGTTTATTTAGCTCGATGTCTCTCTCCTGCAACTTTGCTAGACCGTTATAATCAATTCCACTTGCCATAAGTGTGCTTATCGTTGCTCGTGACAATGCGTCGACCACATCGTTTTCTTGTCCTTTAACGTACTGTATGTCGGACGTGAACTGTGAAATGAACTCTAGTTGTCGGATCTCTCTCGGGGAATAATTGTCTTGCTTTGCGCTTAATGCTTTCGTTAGTGGTTTGTGGTCTGTATAGACGGTAAAACTTATGCCTTCGACCATATGATGGAAGTGTTTTATTGCTAAGTAGATTGCTAATAATTCTCTTCCAAATGTACTATATCTCGTTTGGGTAGGATTTAATCTTTTCGAGAAAAATGAAAGTGGCTCCCATACACCGTTTACTAACTGCTGCAAAACGGCTCCTACTGCTAAGTTCGATGCGTCTGTCATGACGGCTAATGATGCTTCGTTCTTTCGTCGTACCAACATCATCTTCTCGTTTAGCGCTCGCTTAGCGCTCTCAAAAGCCTGTATAGCATCCGCTGAAAGACGGAATGTTCGAGTATGTCCTCGCAAGGCGTCCGTCAATGGCTGTAATATTGCTGCGCAGTTTGGGATAAATCGTCTATAATAGTTTATTAGCCCCAAGAATCTTCGTAATTTTCTTTGTGAATCGGGCAACGGATAATTACGAATAGCAGCAACTTCTGTCGGAACTGGCATGATACCATGTGAATTTATCATATGACCTAGGAATTGCAATGATCCCTTTCCAAATTCACACTTTTCCACGTTAATAGTGACGCCATGTTCCTGAAGTTTCGTAAACAACTGTCGTAGATGTTGTAGATGTTCTTCCCTGGTAGAGCTAGCTACTAGTATATCATTGATATATGCGTGAACTCCTGTCAAACCCCTGACGACCTGATCGATGAATCTTTGGAAGGTTTGGGCTGCATTAGTTAATCCGAAGGGCATTCGCAAAAACTCGAATAACCCAAATGGAGTAGTTATAGCCGTTTTAGATATATCTTCTGCCGCTACGGGAATATGGTAATAAGCTCGAACGAGATCGATTTTCGAAAATATCGTGGCACCTTCCATATTGGTAGTAATGTCGTGGATATGTGGTATCGGATATCTGTCTGCTATCGTTTGCTTATTAAGGGCTCTATAGTCTCCGCATGGCCTGATTTCCCCATTCTTCTTCGAAACCATATGCAATGGGGACGCCCAGGGACTATTAGAAGGTCTTATGATACCAAGCTTCGTCAACTTTTCGAACTCTCGTTTCGCGACATTCAACCTTTTCGGGTCTAGCCTTCGTGGTCTTGATTTAGTCGGTGGACCTTTCGTTATAATATGGTGCTGTACCGTATGTTTAAGATCTCTGTTATCGTATGATACCTTCGTCAGATCGGCATACTCGTTTAGAAGCGATCTATATGGCTCGCTTTTGTCTTTTGACACTACTAAATTCATGGATGCGTGATCAGTCGTCACTCCTCTTATCACTACTGAATGGTCGCCGTTCACGAGCCGGTTTCGTCGGGTATCCACTAGTAAGTCAAAATTCTTTAAGAAATCAATACTAATTATAGGTATGGATACATCTGCGATAATGAATTCCCAGCGGAATGAGGTATTACGACTGAAATTCAAGGTTACTTTTCGCTTGCCATATGTTTTTATATCGGATTTATTTGCTGCCTTAAGCGTTAGCGCTGTATCGATATTTCGTGTTTCGTTACTTACTGGAGGCACGACGCTTACTTCTGCTCCCGTATCCACTAAGAATTGAGCGCCTGTTACTCTATCCTGAACGTAAAATAAACGACTGTTTCTAGGAGCTGTTGTATTTGTTGCGGCATTTATCGACAATCGGTGTGTTCGTTTGAATTTACATGGTGATCTACACTTTCGAGCTTTATCGCCGAAAGTTTGATGGTACCAACATATTGTAGGAGCTGAGCGTCTCCTAGAACGTGATCGACTTCTTTCCCTCGATCTACTTCGTGACCATCCTCTTTGCGTATCGCTCTGATTTAGTTTCATCAGCTTGTGGCATAAAACATTAATCTCCTTTTGTAATGCATCGATTCGTCCATCTATTGTGGTACTATGCCCTTGCGGACTCGTTTTTTTCATTCTCTCATAAATCCTATCGGCTATTTTAGCAATGTTGTCTATATCGACATCGCTGTCCTCAACCGCAAGGATCTGCTGCACGTTCGCTGGAAGTCGTCGTAACCACAACTGATAAAATATGTTTTTATCTACTTTTCTGTCATCGATTATGCTTCTCATGTAGTTTTTTAGTTGAGATGGAGTCCTATCTCCTATCTGCACTTGACTGAGAAGTTGTTCGATGGCTTGCCGGTCGCTTAATGAGACGGCTTTAATCACTGCCTGTTTTAATGCGTCGTATGGCTTTTCTATGTCTGGCTTGATTAAAATCTCTCGTACATTATCTGCTACTTCATCTGGAAGTAGCGAGCTCGCGTGGCCAAATTTATCTCGCTGTGTATGAACACGATTAGCTACAAAGTAATGTTCAAGTCTGATAAAC